TCACTTTGCACTTTGAAGGTGCAAAGCACATGCCGAAAGGAGATACAGAACTTGCTAGTCTGTCAAGAGCGCATTGCGCATCCTCCATAGATGTGAGCAGGCATACGATAGCATCAGCGTACTCTTAATCGCACAGCTTTTCTCCAGCTGCCCATTCAATATCTACGTTCTGGAGACCAGTAGGTGCGTTCTCCAGTACTTCGTCTACGACGAACTTGAACAGGAATGGCGAAATAGGGCACCCTTGACGGACACAAGGTGAGTATAAAATACATGGGCTGCGCATCAGCAACCACCGGTCATTATAACATACAACGGTATGTTCAACTTCATGTAATGAACACAACAGGTGACAGAATAAAAACGCCTGAGCCCATTTATGTTGCCGTGAGCTTGTATCTGACTGGCATTAGTAACCGATCACCTTGAGCAAGACCATGAGTCGAGAAAAAAGCACAATGCATTTCAAACTTCAAAAATCTACCTTGGATCAAAGTAAGAACAAACACGTGGGTCTAAATCTGTACTGAAACATGAGATCCATACTCAGGTACACAGAATCGCAGGTCGACTATCACTAACAAAGAAACCATTCAGTATACAAGTTCACTCATTCTTTGAAGCGGTGAGTTTGCACGTCAAAAGCATTCAGCTCGTGGAATCCACCGATACGTCCCAATACCTTTTTGTAAACCATTGCTTCCTTGTATTCCGGAAGTTCCATAACATTGTGGCGATATTCAAGGACTGAAATTATTTGAATGATAAAGAAACGATGAGACCAATGAAAAGACCACTTACGGACAGTTTGGACGTAGATGTATACGACGCAACCAACAGTCATTAACATGAGTCCCCAAGCAAGTCCCAGTTTCCATATCCCATGTGGAGCGTGCGCTTCCTCCAGCGTTCGGCAGAAGCTATGACGATACAGGGTTTTCACCTCATCTATGGTCAGATTGCCCCAAGGACCTTCTTCTTTCTTATGCAAAGCTTCGATCTATGGTAAAAATGCGATCATGGTAAGATCGTGACTTTACCTTCTCGTCATGGTTCCGGAAACGAATAGCCGGGTAAGGCCATCCTTTATCGTCGTAGTATATGGGCACCCCGTTACGACCAAATCCAACGATCTCTCGGTTTCCTATTTGCGGGAAATATTTTTGTTCGAGTGGAGATAGGACGGTTGTAGTCGACCGTGAGATTATTATGGGCAAACTGCCGACGCGTGATTGGATGGCGCGAACGGACAGCATGTTTGCTGCAAACGGACAAATAATACATGAATAGGGTGGAACAAAGCTGGTTCTTGATATTCAAGTTTCTATCGTAAGCTATTGTACAGTTGAAATCATCCTAGTACAGCAAAATGCAATGAGATCAGCTTTGCTTAGAGCCGCCAAGATTACTATATACACAATACGAACTGATAAGTAACAACGCCACTTTCCAATGAATATGGTTGTGATGGATAGCAGACGGATCGCTCGCTAAAATCGGAAAACACAACCCGGAACTGTGAATGATGATCAAAAACGGTCTCGTTAGGCCCAGTGTGGTATTGAGCCGGACAGGGAAGCTGCTACCGATATCAGTTTGCTGCCATTTCCTAGTGTTTTCCCAAGATCGGTCCTTTGGATCTAAATTTAGAAGACACAAGACTCAATCGCTCTCCGTATCCCAATCCCATCCTTATATTTTTATTTTTTTCATGACACCTTAGTGTGATGCACAGAACATAGGGTTAATCCCATAGTCACGATGACCTGCTGTTCAATGATGGAAACCGGTAACCTAAGCCCCGGAACTTGGAGTAACGAATTACACAAGGCCCCGATAGGTTATTGCTGCTGCGTTGGTACTACGCTTGTCCACGAGCTGAAGAAGCACCTTTTCCTTCAATCACTTTTGAAATCTTGAAGTATTTCAATCAGTCTTCGCAAAGATTTCCATCGCATATGTATGCATTTACTCGTGGTGAAGTGCTGATCGCTCGAGGAGTGAAACCCACATCCAAGATCATCAACGGCGCCTATGCCTGTGAACAACCGAATGAGCCAATCCAAGCATTCACCGCCTAATTAACTACTTCGAACTTATCGGAACACTCGAGTGTTTTGACAAGGACTCTTGTCGACGAGCATACAAAAATAAAGATGAACCACTGAACAAATCGCAACAAATACAAGTACGGTGTGCAATACCTCCCGAAACAGAGACTGAAGAGTTCTCACCCCGAGAATCCCAAAATTAATTCGAAACCTTCCACTAAACGAGTCCGAAAGTACCTGGCGAAAAACTGTCGTGCGACGCGCCAAGATCGCCGAAACAGCCAAACAAACTAGACCAGTTCAGTTCAGTTCAGTTTGCACCGGACGATGTGTGGCCCGGTCCAATCTTGCGTCCAGACTGATGTGTTGTTGGCTGTTCTTGTGGCTTTCAACACTGCGAGTCAATAGGTTTCTTCTGAAAAGCAGAAAGTAAGNGTAAGGTGCAGTATCACGTCCTGGGCAATGGTGCTCAGGACTAATAGGTACTTACCATCAAACTGTTTCAGGGAAAGTAGAAGCCCAACAGTCATCTAATGCCCTCTTGAAGGCAATGACGTTCGAGCAACTTACCACGTTTTCGGTAGACTATTCCAGTTAGGTATTACGCGATTTTGAAGAACTTGGCTCGAATGTCCAGCCTTACAAGACTATGTTGTAGCCTTAAACTATGTCCCCTAGTGCCACTTGAGGGGATGAACTGGAACATGTCCTCGACCTTAAGTCCGGAGAGACCGTTGATGATCTTAAAGACTTCGATGAGATCCCCCCTTACTCTACTTATAGCCAAAGAGAATAGGAACTGAACGGTACGTACCCTAGTGCGCGGTTTGAATTTATAAAGTGCTCTCGGTTTTTAAAGCGTTTGTTCAAGCTAAAGTGA